TTCTGCAGCCCCTTGCCGAAAATTCTGCTTGACTGAAGACTGCCCTACTGTTGTTCTCTGTAACATCGTCGTCATCAGCCACTGATCAGTTGAAATTGTCAGAGTCGAATAAAGGTTGTGTTGTTAATTCCACTCCGCATTTAGTAAGGTGGATGCCATTGTTGTCGAGAGCACTCCTGATAGCATTCGGGGTCATCCGAACCAAGTGCCATGAATACTGGGGGAAAGTCCATGTAGGAGACTCTAGAGATAGTGGATATGATATATAAAGGTGCAATCATACCCTGAGGACTGGCGAGAATCCGAGGTCCCTGGTGACCATCAGGCTGAGGGCGTCAATGATAACAACCCTATAGACCAGCCGGTGAGTACTCTCCAACAGCTGCTGTCGTCGTTGTCATCAACGAGCCCTCATAAGATTCACGAGGCATGCTTGGCTGGCGACCTCGATCGTATCAAGCAACTCGTGAAAGCTGGTGCTTCCATCAATGCTCCCGGTACGTTCATAGTCGCCTATTGCCGTGAAATTTGACTCTCAGGCCGAGATTTTGAGTCTTGCATTTTCAAAGCAGCGGGTCGAGGTCACCTGGAAAGCATTGAATGGCTCTTGCGGCGGGGGGCGAATGCGACGTGATTCGCATCTTTTCCACATGGCGAAATTTTGAACTTTTTCGTATGTAGCACCCGATCTCGGAGTGGCTACAGTGCCTTGGATGCTGCCGCCAGAAACGGTCACTTCCAAGTGGCATCGTTCTTAATAAACCAAGCTGGCTTTGATCCCAACTCGTTGCACGAGGCCGACGGGTATTGTATCTAATCGATGACCCTCTTAAGGCTCTTCTGGTCAGTTACAGTAGCCTCCATCGTGCGTGCTGGGGTAAGACCAACAACCACCAGCTGACCGTCAGTGGCCCCTCCTCTACTATGCTGTGAGAGCCTCATCTCAGGTACGTACTATTGTGAAGAACCACGGAGGAGACCCTCTAGGGCTATCGAGAGATGGTTATCACTGCTATCAGATGACCCCCAATAGGAAGACTCGTAAGCCGTAAGGCTTCTGGATTTCAATAGTGTCCCTTCTTGTGGCGCAGGAAAGTGGATTCGTAAATGGCTTCAAAGCAAGGGGATGGAAATACCCGATTTAAAGCAGTTAAAGCAGAGCCAACAGCAGAAGGAATCAGAGAAAAATAGGAGGGAAGGTGACACGTCTTCAAAGACGACCACATGCTCATTCGTTCAGAGCTGGGTTTGGCGAGTGACGACTCAACCGAGGAGGCCCTGGAGGGTTACATTGCGGGTGTGCCGAAGGACGATGAACTTTGATTTCTGCCTGTTGTCCCTTATCGACTCACTTGTTGGGTTTCCACTACAGTTCAACAATTCAACGATGTTACGATGGTTTGACAACTCAACAAAACTCGAGAATTTTCAAGTGACGGAAATGACCACAGAAACAGCATGATACTCAGAGACTCCCTCTTGATTTTAAGTAGGCTTCTGCATAAGGTCTCCAATAGTCAGTAGTACGTACTCGAAGGCCGAACGCCAAAGCAAGGGAGCGTATCATGACGCTGCATCTGAGGCCATGGGGTCCGATATTGGCGCGATGGAGGGAATCTCACCGGCACACCATGACGGCATCTTGCGAGATCGATACCGCTGGGTCACGCTTCTCCATCTCCTCTAGAAATTGATGAATATTCATCCCTACACATGAGATGCCATCCGAAGACCTCATAGGTCATACGAACCTTCGGGAATGACATCAGGGGTAGTGTCTCTGTCTAGCCAGAATGCAATCAAGCGGAGAGCTGTCTCGGGGTCGTTGTATTTGTGTCGATACCCGGTCGCAAAAAGGATCTGAACCATGCATGGTGTAGTGACCGAGGCGGGAGGCGACACCTTCATCGTAGTTGCATCGTCGTGGTCGTTCAAGGCAATAACGAGACGCGCCATATGTTCTCGGAAGGCCGGGTCCAGACGCTTAACCTATTGAACATGAATAGGAGGAGTAGTGGATCCAACTCTCTCTCTTGCTTGTCCAAAGTCGATGAGGCCCAAGCGGCCATCAGGCATAAGGAGGATGTTGCCAGGATGGGGATCGCCATTGAAGGTACCATGTGTGAATACCTAAGGGGCACACATCGAACGAACGGAGGCCACATCACGTACTTGATCGCCATGAACTTCCATCACAGTTGCCAGGAGGTCAGCAGTATTAGGGGGTAGGGGAGTAAGGCCCCAGTGACCGACAGTGCCTGCTCTAATCGAACTCAGAGATACCCTCCAAGTCGAGAGTCCCTACCCAGTGAGCAGAGGTAGACAGCGGCACACAATGCATCCATGGACCGGACCAAGACCTTCCGAGCACTCTGTCTGTAGGCCTCGACAGTAGTATGAGATAGATCTGTCATCATCTCTCGTCACTGATGGCGTTGACCCCGATATACTTTTCCTTTGTCGCAGCCGTTCAACATGCTCATGCTCGAGTTCCTCAACCGGTCGGCCCTGCCTTACAGCTTCTTGTCGCAGAAAGTCCATGAGGCCGTCGAGAAGCTTGGTGCCACCTTAACAGGAGGTTTCCATTGCTCTAACGAGGCTCTTACCCTTGAGGTACTCCATGACCAATACTCTCCTGGTGCAAAGGTCTAGGTAGGACTTCGGTATCACAACTCTATGAAAGACCATCACAAGGCGTTGGGAAGAAAAAGACAACTTACTTGTGGCTCCACTTGGGCATAATTTGCTGGCGGATCTCCTCCATGTTCTGAGCCTCTAGTTGATAGTCGAACTCTGTTAAAAACTGACTTTCTATCTCATCCAGGGGTTGAACCTGCGCCCTATTGATACCCCTGACTGGGACCCAAGCCCCTCACCAGCTGAGGTAGGGCCATTTTACAGAAGGCCCGACACGAGGCTAGATCCGCTCTAAACTGGGCCTCAACGTTCTCGGGTTGGACCTATTTAGACCATAAAGCGCGCGCCCTAGGGCCCTACTTGACCTTAATAGCGACTTCATGACCACCGTACTCTTCTCGGAGGACCCCTCGATAGCATTGGCCGATGCTGGCACTCCCTACTGGGTGAGGGTCTATGAATTGAAAAACTTCTGACAAGTCAGTAATGCCAAGGTCTTCCTTAATGACCTGAGGACCCATCATCACTCGAGCGACGCCGTCAGGCATTCGTATGGGCCAACACTCTCAAACGATCGTCGTCACAGTTCACGAGGACATTCATCAGAGCCCACCTGCTCGGCCTCAGCAAAGGACATCACAACAGGGGCTTGGTCCTGCATCTTCCGGCACCATCTACAACACCCAATAGGAAAGCCCATTGGAGGGGGGGGGGTGACCTACTCTAAATACTGCTTCGGTAAAAACTCGTCTCGTAGGCTCATCATTTGGCTGGCCTTGAGGTAGAAGCCGCGCAAAGCCACCGTGGCGTTGCGAACAATAGGGCTGTACATCTCATGCAAGGACTCGTACAAATTATCAGCTTGCTGTGTCGTTGGTCGTATCGCTGCTGGGGAGGACTCAGCGTACCACTCCACGGCTTTGTATGCCGCGAACGCTGGCAGGGCAGTTGACCAGAAGGTGAGGGAACGTCGGAGCCCGTCACGGCCCTGCTTGTCAACTCGTTGCCACGCTAGTGCTGCTGGGACTACCAAGCATGAGCATCAGTAGAAGAGAGCAGCATCATCAATGGGCCCTACCAAAGCCACCGACCGTCACAATGAGCGGTAGATACCGGGCCCCACTAGTGGCCATTGAAGGGCTCTGAACTGAGGTGGTGAAAGATTTTCATTGAAGGGCTGAGCGAACTCTACTATAGGTAAGACTTGAAACTGCTGTGAATGGTGACACTTCGCAATGGTCAGAAATCGTTGCAATACAAATGCTCGGCGATAGTTTGTCCCACGCCTTAGCGTGCTCGCCCAGATCGATTAAGTCGAGGCATGGCCTGGTACACTGAGAACAGTGGGAGTGGGTACCTATTACTGTAGTAGTAGCACTAGGATAGGTAACAACATGGACCTACTCCCGACCCGATCGGGCATCAGCGAGGAGCTCTTTCATCAACATCAGCTTGCGCTCGTCCATAAAGTGCTCTCTGACTAGCATGTACCTGAGGAAAGACTAAAGAGGCCTCATTCAGGTCAATACCCACCATATGGAGTCGATGTCCATATGGGCCTTGACACAGTTCTGAATGACTGATAAAACGAACATAACGTCGAGGGAGTCGGGACCACCTGGTAAGTTGCATTGCCAGAGGGCTTCAATCACGTGCTGAATCTAAGAGAAAAACGAAGCTCCTCAACCAACACAAGTGATGAACAACACTCCTACCTCGTCTAGTGAGAAGAGGTTCCTCGGCAGATCCCTCCAGATCTGCTCCGCAAGGACCCGGTCACTCCCCAGCGGCTCGACGAGGTCCGCCTTATTGTCAATCATGTTCTTCTTCTTTTCAGGCTGCCGTCGCGACTGTGATGATGTTGCCGTCATTGACGTGGCAGTGGCTGGTGCCGAACTCGAACGTAGACCACGGGATACGTACATGGGAGGATTATAGTGCAAATATCTGTCGAGGAAATCAGCACTAGAGAGCAGCTGATCAGCAGGCCCCTTACAGCGCCATATGGACCAGTTGGTCCCTCTCGAGGAGCCACGTGGCTAAATCGGCGAAGGACTTCGCGGCTACTATCTCCTCGCAACTCTCACGAACTTGCATCAATGGTTTCCCCTGCGAGAACTCGTACATTATACGAGGGATCATCTGGAGGGAACCCCATAGGGCAAGTACACTAAGTGAAGACACCCTCACTTCCACTGAGTTGAACTTCGCTTCGAAGTCTAAAAGGTCTCCTCTGGTCAGCGGCATTGCGCTGGGGTTAGGCACGAGGATCTGAACCATGTAATGCCTCGAGCTCTCTCGGGTGGGCAGGCGCCGACCTGGGACTTCTGCAGAACAGGGATCACTCTGGCCTCGCCTCTCGAGACTAGCCCCTTGGCAATTCGGAGCACCGTGCCTGACGAGAAATGGGGTTAACGTGTGGTCAGTGGGAGGGGTTGCCGCCGACCCTGTGGGATTTTCAGGGCGCGCGCCACGTCCGCGAGGGACTTGGTACAGTTGAGGGACTCCAAAACGAGACGAGCCGTTTGGCTGTGGGCCGATGATGATGATGATGCTGTTGTCGCAGCAGCAGCAGCAGTGGCAGGGCCGTATTGACTATCTCCCGAGAGGCTCCCCGATTGAGGTCTGACACAACCAGTGGCGATCACATCAGCAACAGAAGGGGCCTACTGGGACGAGGGGCCAGGAGGGGTCGAGGCCACCGAGGAGTAGTCATTCTTGGCCTTCACGAGGAGGAGGGTCTTGTCCAGAGTGGCATCCATACCACCACCACTGACTGGCTCCATTGGTAAGAGTGGTCCAGGGTAACCAGGCATAAGGTAATCAGCTTCAGTATGGCCGGTGATGACCACACGAACGGAGTTGTTGACTACTAGAGAGGTCGTAGGGCCTTCACTCAACGTGGTGAACACTTTAGTCTAAAAGGCCAGCACAGAATTACCACTCCGTGTGACATACACAAACAACTGACCAGAGTAGTGACGAGGTCCTGACCGGCCTCATTGCTAGCAGCATCGATGGACGAGTGCCTCCTCAGTGACTCGACCACAGGGCTGGTGTCGGGCGAGGCCGTGACCGAAGGGGTCGAGTGCTTCCTCGTAGTCTGAGAGGCTCCATGGTTGAGGGGAAACCCACGATGAGCCCTTACCTGTGAGGGCCCATTGTAATGACTAAGGAGACCCTTCACCTGCTCGGACAAATAACCACAACGATTCTCCTCGGCAACCAGGGCCCTTGAGATGGTCTGGACCGCCTGAGGAGGTGATGACCCTCATAAAGAAGTGAGGGTAGGGTCCAACCTGGAAATGCATTGTAGTTGACCGGAGGGTCACTCGGCGAGCATCGAAGACCAGTACGATGTTGAACCAACAGACGGCCTAAGGGAACGCAGTCAAAGGCCCTACCATAGGAGCAGCACCCACCTGGCTTTGCGAGGGTCGCCGCAAGGGCTTGCTATGTCTTCGTCCACCTGAGAGGGGCAACTACGAAGGGCTGATACCGGCAGCAAGGGTACCTTGAGGTGGGTCTGAGCTCCCAGCCCGCCTACTCGATGTAGTAGTCCTACTGCTATGACCACCAACAGGGCGTGTGCAATCACAAGGGTGACACACGAATCTGAAGACCAACTAGGGCCCGTTTTCATTGCGCGCGCTCGCAATGTTGAAATTCGAATGCTATGGGTATAACATTGATTTTCGTGCCGTTTTATGAGAACCACGGGTAAAATGTTAACGAAAAAATGAAGAGAATTCAACCAAATGGGTAGGAAATTGAACTTGTCGGTGAAGAAAAATTAATTTCATCTGCGAGTGCTACAGACCATGCAGTTCGTGGGACACTGTGACAGACCCCACCTGAGATGATTCCAAGCAGGATTGGTCTCACACCGAAAGCAGGGGCTAGCCGTGGTAGTCGTCTGAGTCGAGTTTGCCGCCACTTTGATGGCTTCAGGAAGGTCCAATGGACCCGAGTCCATCTCGAAATCGAATCTCTTGTTGTTCCACGATGCGGAGGGCACGGCGAACTTGGCGAATTCACTGAGGCCTATGCCGAGTATTCTGGGCTCGCCGCTGGACTTGGGGCCGGCGGTCTCTGCAGAGGCAGGGCTTGGTGGCGAGCTGGACTGTGGCTGCTGAGGGATATGATGCTCCGAGTAGTATTGTGATGATGACGTCAGCGTCCTCGGGTACCAAAAGCATACCTGACAACACAACACACTACTACTACTACTACGACAGCGTAGT